TTTGGAGTTTTATAACTAAGATACAGATGAAGTAATGTTTCGTGAAGCTTTTGGTTCAGTTTTATATGTATTGAGTCATGATGTCAGTGTGTTTCTTACTGTGATCAAAAAAAGTTTGCAAAACCCTGCAGGGCATAATCTTACCTTTCCTAAATCCCGCGTACTGGCTGGATGGACGATATTAACATCAGTTCAGACTTTTGCTGGGGTCCGTGCCAAATGGTTTTACCTGCTTTGATTTATGGACTTCTTGCTACACCCTAAGCACTGTTGTGATTGCCGTTTGACAGATATTGAAATTGAGGCTCAGACTGCAGAAAGCCCATGCCTGAGGTTACCAGCCAGAAGAGCGGAGGAGCAGGGCTCCCACTCCAGCAAGCCTGTCTCTGAGCCTGAGCACACAACACCTTCCTGCCTGCCCACCGTCCCCACCCCTCCCGATCTGCTGCCCACATACACGGAGCACTCAGGTGTACCAGCCATCCTCAGAGCCCCGCGGATGTGAGCCACCTCCTGGATCCTGCCGGTACTCCCGTTGGCAATACTGTTTCAACCCCCACTGTGCAGGCTAGAAAACTGAGGCCTTTCACCCCAGAAAACAAAAGCTTGACAGCATTCCCAAGAATCCATGGTTCTAACATCCTTTTCCAAACTCCCCTCTTTGAGAGGCAAGAGAGAGAAATGGCTAAGGACATCTTTGACTGCCTAGGTTCAAATTCCATGTGTGTTAGTTCCCTAGAGCTGCTGTACCAAAGTACCACAAACCAGCTGGCTTAAAAAAGACAGAAATTTATTGCCTCATAGTTCTGGAGGCTAGGAGTTCAAATGCAAGGTGTCAGCAGGGCTATGCTCCCTCTGAAGGCTCTAGGGGAAGACCCTTTGTGTCTTCCTAGCTTCTGATGGCTCGTGGCCATCCTTGGCGTTCCTTGACTTGTAGACACATCACTCTAATCTCTGCCTCCATCATCACATGGCTATCTTCACCCTGTGTCTCCCTCCTCTTTTTACAAGGACACCACTCATACTGAATTAGGACCCACCCTACTCCAGTATGACCTCACATTAAGGTAACTGATAACATCTTCAAAGACCTTAGTTCCAAACAAGGTCACGTTCACAGCTACCAGAGGTTAGGACTTCACCATCTCTTTTTAGGGGACACAATTCAGTCCATAACCCCATACTTCAAACCTGTGTAGCTCTGTGACCACAGGCAAATAATTCTGGGCCTCAGTTTCCTTTTCTACAAAATGGGAATAATAATAGTACCTACTGGGAAGAACTACGTGGAAAAGGAGGATGAGGATGGTTGCGCTATTTGAAGAGTATAATCAATGGCACTGAACTGTACATATAGAAATTGTTGAATTGGTATATGTTCTGCTGTGTATATTCTCAACAACTGCAACAACAAATAAGATACATTTAAAAAAAAAAAGTACCTACCCATAAGGTTGTTTTTAAGACTTAAATAAGTTAGAATACGCGCAAGTGCTTAGAACAGTGGCCACATCCCTTGCGTGGGGAATCTTCCCAACAGCCCTATAAATTTGGGCTATTATTTGCCCCCCAACTTTGGCACAGAGAGCGTGAGGTCCTTGCTGGAATTCACATGAGTGGAAAGAAGGAATCAGAATTTGATACAGATCTGACGGGGCTTTTACCCACTAAGTCACCAGTCCTTTGGGTTATTAGTATCAATAGCAACCACAGCAACGTTTTCCAAATAAGCAGAGTGGAACTCAGAGAGGGAAAGGACGTGCCCATGTCACACAGCATGGAAATGGCAGAGCCAGGATTCAAACCCTCGTCCCATGAACCGCTCCATAAAGCAATGATGGGCGGGAGGGAAGAGTAGGTTTGGAACTCTCCTTCTCTCAGCTTAGTCTGGTTCTCTGGTGACCCTGGCTCGGGCCCCAGCTCAGTCGAGGGCGGCCCCTTCCCTGGAAGTCCTGGGTTGGGGGCACTGGGGTGGCACGGATGATGGCAGAGGGTGCAGCAGCCCCCTCCTCTGGCCTCTGATTGGGGCCTTGCAATCCCCCAGGATTTGATGCTTGGAAAGCTGACGTTGGGTTGCTATGGCGATGGGTTTGGGGCGGTTGCCATGGCAGCAGAACTAGCCTGGGTTTAAAAATATCTAGGAGGAGGTTTGTGTTTGTGTGTGAGTGTGAGTGCGTGACCAACCATGCTGTTGTGTGGTGTGTGTCCAAATGCGAGGGCTTGGGTGGGGTGGAGCTGGGGCCACAGGCATGACTCAGGGGTGGGGGGCTGAACAGCACACGGCCCTCCATGTGTGTTGTATCTGTGTCACTGTGATTGGCTTGTGAGGTTCCAGGGCATTGTGTGTGTAAGACTATGTGTGGCTGTGTACCTAAATGTGTGTGATAACCCTATTCGTGGGCAAGGAATGATTGAGTCGATGTGCAAGGCATATTGAGTCCATACATCACGTGTCACTTACATGTATGTTTTATATGACACAGGTGTGTATGCCTGGGGTTGTACTCATGTCTTTCTAACTTCTCTGGGTGTGTATGGCCAAGTGTGGAGTTGTTGTGGCTCTGAATCTGCATACCTCAGACATACCTGGTTATGAGATGTGACTCCCTGGATATTAGGTGTGTATCTATCTCTTTGTGAGTGAGAGCCTGTGGTGTGGCTTTGGGTCCACATGACTGGATATGTGTTATGGATAAGTCTGCATCAATCCCCTGTGAGTCTTTGTACATCAGAGTGTGCCTGGGTGTAACTGTGTGAGTTTGTGCACCTGTGAGTCTGGGCACGGGTTTGTCTGTGGGGGGCCTTTGTGACTGTATATGTTGGGGGGGGGACTTCATGCCCAACTCTATGGATGTCAGGGTATGTTCCCGTGTGCTGCGAGTGTATGATTCAGAGGGTCTAAGGTGTCCGCTCTCTGCCTGACCCCAGTGTCTCCCTGCATCCCTCTTGCCTCTTTCCTGTCTCCATGACAACCAGTTCCTCAGCTCCCTCCAGGAAGATGGAGGGGGAGGATCCAGGCTGCAGTGGACCACAACCCCCTCCCATCCCCCTTGGCTCTGGGGACAATGAGGGGGGAGGGGACAGATGGGCAGCCACCCCACCCACCCCAGGCCATCTGCTAACCACCGCCCCCCCCTCATTCTGGAGACCTAGGAGCTCAGCATGGCAAGGGAGGGGCAGGGAGTGGGGTAGAGCAGAGGGAAGGGCCCCCCAGCTGCCACAGTTACCCCCATACAGGCTCCCTCGGAGTCTAATCTTGCCTCTGGTTGACCTAGGAAGGAAAGAGTACTTGGGGACCAGGAATCCAGGGAGAAGAAAATCCATGTACCAGAGAACACGAAATGTCAGCAACAATCCATTCCAAGGAAGGGCCCCCTACTTTCAATGACTTCAGGCTCTGGAATTAGGTGGGTCTTGCATTCAAATCCGAGTTCTCCTTCTGTCTAGCTGTGTGCCGTTGGACAAGCCACTCCACATTCCTGGGCCTCCACTTTGTCATCTGAACATCAAGTTTTTTTAATTACATGGATAGTAATATTTACTCTACAAGCAACAAGAGTTCGTTTTGTTCCCTGTTGAGTCCAGAGTTTGGGACAGTGCCTGGCAGCTAGTAGGTGGTCCATAAGTGTTGTTGATTACATTGAGAGCCAACCGTGTGCTAGGCTCAGTGCTACTTGCTTTATCTCAGATTCTCATTGAATTCAATCCCCTGAGCCCTCACAGGAGCCCTGGTGGCACAGTGGTTAGAATCTCACCTGCTAACCGAAAGGTCGGCAGTTTGAATCCGCCAGCCGCTCCTTGAAAACCCTATTAGACAGTTCTACTCTGTCCCATAGGGTCACTGAGTTGGAATCGACCCAATGGCATTGCGTTTGGGTTTCTGGGTTTTTTTTTTTTTTTTGGAGCCCTCACAAACAACCCTGTGTTGATTCTAGAATGGATGGATAAAAGCTTTGAAGCGAAACTTCGCAACTGTCGGGGTTGGTAGTCACTATAAAGAGGAATTTCTTGTCCTGACCAAGTGACATCAGGCCTCGGAGGCTCAATTTCCCCATCTATAAAATGGAGATAATAAGAGTACCACACAGAGTTGGTTACTCTGGAGAGTAAATGAGATAATGTACGTGAAGCGCTTACTTTGAACCAGACCTGGCAGGTAGCAAGCACTCAATAAATGTTGGTTAAAGGCGAGGCTTGGGGAGGGCATGGACGAGCCCAGACTCATTGTACATAGCCTGGGGGAGCCAGGTCCCTCTTGCAGCTGCGAGGAAGGGGCGTGGCCCACCAGAGGGGCGTGGTCCAAGCTTCAAGAAAGGACCAATGGGGGCGTTGGAGGGCGTGGTCCTGGTCGGCACGGGCGTGGCCTTACGCGGGTGGGAGGGGCCGGGCGCTGGCGGAGCCTCCGGGAAGAAGATGCTCGGGCGAGCAGCCACCGCCAGCCCTGTCGCCGCTGCCGCCCGCGCCCGCCGCCCCCCGGGCCCCCACTAGCGGCCGCCTCCACCTCCCACCTCCGGTCCCGCTCCTCCGGCCCCCCGCCCCGAACAGGGCCTGGGGGGCTCGGCCCTCCGCCCAGGGGGGCTCAAAAAGGGGATCCCATTCCCCCAGTGGTGCGGTCCGTCCCGGGTCTCTGTGATCTTGAGAGAGACCCCCACCCCTCAGTTCTCCCTGGGCTCCATCGGGGACCCCCTTGACCCCCCATCCTGCTCACATCCGCTCTCCAGGCTCTGCCAGCCCCCCAGCACCAGATCCCTTCTCCCTCCCTCCCTCCCTCTTTCCCTCCCTCCCTCTCTCCCTCCCTCTCTCTCCGGGGTTCCCCCTCCCCCACCC